TCGCGATTGGGAGGGGATAGTTGTGTCCTCTCTATCTATCTATCTATCTATCTATTTATCTATCTCTCTGTCTATCTCTCTCTCTCTCTCTCTCTCTCTCTCTCTCTCTCTCTCTCTCTCTCTCTCTCTCTCTCTCTCTCTCTCTCTCTCTCTCTCTCTCTCTCTCTCTCTCACTCTCTCCTCTCTCTCCTCTCTCTCTCTCTCTCTCTCTCTCTCTCTCTCTCTCTCTCTCTCTCTCTCTCTCTCTCTCTCTCGTTTTTGGTAGATTGTGATTGATGGATTGAGTATAAAAAAGAAAATGAAAATGATAATAACAATAATAATCAATGGAGCGGTTTATCTATTTACAAAGTATGTGTGATTTCTTTTTATCTTTTTCATATTTTTTTTTTCTTGTTTTTTCTTTTTTTTGGGGGGGGGGGGAGTCACTCTTCATCTATTTTTTTATCATTTTTCACTTATTACTATTTCAATCTTCATTTTTTATTTTATTTTTTTTCGTCCATACTTACTCGTGTACTATTTCTTATATTGAATAATGATTGTTTTTTTTTTTTTTTCTCTCTCTTTTTCATTCAGTTGTTTTCATTTTTCTGTTCTTTTATCTTTTATATTTGATTTCATATTAATTTTCATCTGTTCATGTTCATATTTTATTTTAATTTATTCATCCACCTTTTCTTGTCGTTTTTGTTATTTTCGCTTATTTATTAACATTCTCTTTTCTCATTATCCTTCTTTATTTTCATTGTCTGTTTTTATTTATCTATTTCTAATTCTTTATTTTTTATTGTTTTTGTCTCTTATTTCATGCCCTTTGTTTTTCACATATTTATTTTACATATCTATTTGTCTTTTTATTTCTGTTTATCTTCTCATGTCATTTCTATTTTTCTTTCTATATTCCATTTTTTTATTTCATGTCCATGGTTTATATATATATATATATATATATATATATATATATATATATTATATATATATATATATATATATATATATGTGTGTGTGTGTGTGTGTGTGTGTGTGTGTGTGTGTGTGTGTATATTTTTTTCTTTCTTTCTTTTTTTCTTTTTTATGTTTGAATTTGTTTTCATTTATCCTTTCTTACATTGAGTAATGAAATAAACTGACGCACGCCAGGAGATCGACCATTCTCCCCCCCCCCTCCCCCTTCCCCCATTTTCCCTCCCCCCCCCCACCTCCCCCTCCCCTCCCATCCCCGGAGCGCGTGTAATCGCCGCCGCAAATAATGAGGTAATTACCCACCGGACGCTTCCAAAATGCCCCCTTCCCCCCCCTCCCCCCCCTCCCCCTACCCCTACCTCCCCTCCTCCCCCCTCCCTCTTCTCCTGGCGGGTCGTGCCCTCCGGGTGCCCGCTCACGACAGGTGTTTTTCTCTTTCTCTTTCTTTCTTTCTTTCTCTCTCTCTCTCTCTCTCTCTCTACACACACACACACACACACACACACACACACACACACACACACACACACACACACACACACATATATATATATATATATATATAATATATATATATATATATATATATATATATATATATATATGTGTGTGTGTGTGTGTGTGTGTGTGTGTGTGTGTGTATATATATATATATTATATATATATATATATATATATATATATATATATATATATATATATAATATATGTATGTATATCTTCATCCCTCCCTTCTCTCTCTCTCTCTCTCTCTCTCCTCTCTCTCCCTCTCCCTCTCCTCTCCCTCTCCTCTCCCTCTCCCTCTCCCTCTCTCTCCCTCTCCCTCTCCCTCTCCCTCTCCCTCTCTCTCTCTCCGCCCATTCATAAACTCGGCCTCATTCATACCGAGAAGGCCGCCACGTACGTTCATTCAGCGCGTCGCGTTCATTGATAAATTTTGCCGCGAGATAATGAATGAAAATACGTGCGTGGGTATTTTCCTTTGGAGATGACCGTCTCTCGAAGGCATAGGCGTGTGTTTTTGTTATCATTGTTTCTCGAAAGGTTAAATGTTTGTTTTTTGATAAGAACGTTTTCGAAGAAGAAAAAAACGTTTGTTTTTTATATCAACGTTTGTCGCGGAAATAAACGTAGGCTCCTGATATCGACATTGCTCAAGGGGATAAACGTTCGGTTTTCAGGAGGATAAACGTTTGCTTCTGATATCAACGTTTTTCAAAGGGATAGACGTTTGACCCTGATATCAGTGCTTCTCGAAGGGATAAACCTTTGCTTCTATCAACGTTTTTCAAAGGGATAAACGTTTGATCCTGATATCAATGTTTCTTGAAGGGATAAACGTTTGCTTCTGGAATCAATATATCTCAGGGGGATAAACGTATGCTGTTGGTATCAACGTTTATCGAGAGAACGAACGTTTACTCTTGATATCAACTTTTCTCAACGGAATAGACGTTTGCTTTGGATATGAACGTTTTCGAGGGGATAAACATTTTGATTCTAATATCAACGTTTCTAAAAATATACGTTCGATCCCGATATGAACGTTTTCGAAGGGATAAACGTTTGCTTTTGACATCAACGTTTCTCAAAGCAATAAGCATGTGCTCTTCCTACCGACGTCTCTCAAAGAAGCGTCTGATTATGAATTTATAACGCCATAATTCATTTTATTGCTGCTCTCCGTCAGATTAAGGTAATTTGCATAATAGTAAACTAGTGACAGCCAGTTTTCAAAATCGTAGATGCAAATGGAATTAAATATCGGTATTTTTATTTATTTGTTTATTATTAATCTAGAATATCACATTAAAAGTCTATGTGACGAGAGATATTATTTAATAGAGTTTCATCACCATCTGGCGTGAGCAAATGATTATTTGTGACATTATCCTCACCTGCTTTCCTCTCTTACTCTCTTCATGTCATATCCTCATTTGATTTTTTTTCTTCCCTCATTCTTTAACCTCACTTCCTTTCCTCTCTTACTCTCTTCATATTTTATCCTCATGATGTTGTTTCTTCCCTCATTCTTTATCCTCACTCCCTCTCCTCTCTTCCTCTCCTCATATTTAGTCTTCATTTGATGCCTTTTACTTTCGTCACTCTATATCCTCACTTCCTCTTCTCTTACTCTCACTATATTTTATCATCAGTTGATGTTTTTTTTTCCCTCACGCATTATCCTCACTTCCTCTCCTCATATTTTACCCTCACTTGATGTTTTTTGTCTTCCCTCACTCTTTATCCTCAATCCCTCTCCTCTTTTCCTTTCCTCATATTTTATCCTCAATGCCTTTTGCTTCCCTCACTCTTTAGACTCACTTGCCACCCTCCCATTTTTCCTCACCTTTGACTCACTACTCTCACATCTTATCCCCAATCATTACCTTCATTTCCCCCCTCATTCTCTTCCCTCTTCAACCTCCTTACTTCAATAACACATTTATCCTCATTAGTGAACCTCACTATTTACCCTCACTCACTGTCTATCCTCACTTCCTTTCCTAACTTTCCCCTTAATTGAATAGAAATAAAGGTCCTTAGGATTTTTTTATTTATATATTCATTCATATTTTTTATATTTTATATTTATATTTTTTATATTATTTATATTTATTTATTAATGAAATACCAGAGAATTCATAATATGGAGGATAATTATCGGTATATGCATTATTTATTTATTATTACTATCATTCTTTTATTTCTGTCCCTTAATCAATTTCTACGATTACTGTATCTTGCAAAAATAATAACGGTGAATGAATAAATATAGATGAAAAAATAAATATAAATATAGATCAATATAGATTATATGTATATATCTATATATATTTTTTTTCTTTTTGTTCCTTTTTTCTGTCTTAAGTGGAACTGAAATGTTGTTGTGATAGACACTGTCTCGTCTCTGTATTTTATCAATGTATTATCATTTTTCATATATTATAGTCCTTATGGATATATAGAATACGGGTTGGATTAATCGATAGAATCATACATTATACGTATGTAACGGCAGATATTCTTGGATTGATTTGATAATCCTTATCAAATTATTATTATTTACTTTTTTTTTTCTTTCTTTCTTTTTTTTTTTTTTTTTTTGGGGGGGGGCTGCTGCTGCTGACTTCACCCCCACCCTCTTGTATCCTTCTCACCCCCCCCCCCCACCGCGGAGAGTCATATCCCTATTTCGGGAACCAATGACATATGTATGCTACAACTTAATTTGATGAATCATTGCGTGTATCATCGACTTTCTGCGAAATTGAATCCATGCTAATGAATTGGTTTCAGAAGGTGACCCATTTCTGTATGTTTGCTGTTTGTGTGTACTCCATATTTTTCTTCACTTGATCCGTGTAAACACCTCATTACTGTTACATGTTCTCATCTCTCTTCTCTGTCTCTCTCTGTCTCTCTCTGTCTCTCTCTGTCTCTCTCTGTCTCTCTCTGTCTCTCTCTCTCTCTCTCTGTCTCTCTCTGTCTCTCTCTCTCTCTCTTTCTCTCTCTCTCTTTCTCTTCTCTCTCTTCTCTCTCTTCTCTCTTCTCTCTTTCTCTCTTTTCTCTCTTTCTCTCTTCTCTCTTTCTCCCTCTCTTTCTCTTCTTTCTCCTCTTTCTCTCTTTCTCTCTTTCTCTTCTCTTTTTTCTCTTTCTCTCTTTTTCTCTTTTTCTTTTTCTCTTTTTTTCTCTTTTTCCTCTTTCTTCTCTCTTTTCTCTCTTTTTCTCTCTCTCTCTTCTCTCTTTCTCTCTCTCTCTTCTCTTCTCTCTTCTTCTCTCTCTCTCTTCTCTCTCTTTCTTTCTCTCTCTCTCTCTCTCTCTCTCTCTAACATGAGATGTGTTTTCTGTCCCCAAATTGTGTAATAATTTTATAGGAAGTGAAATAATATATATATATATATATATATATATATATATATATATATATATATATATATATATATATAATATATATATAATATATGTCTGTAATTCTAAGTAAATATTCCCCCAGCTGGTTACGATAATAGAAAGAAAATTTAGATTTCATGAAGACTTTATAGTATAGACCTATATATAACATCGTGCAAACAGTTAAACTTGTTATAAATTCCCTATAATTGGCATCATAATAACAATCAAAACATAACGGTAATATGTCGTACACTGTTTACATTTGGATCAACATCAGAAATCACAAGTAAATACATATAATTGTCTATAAACCGATTTTTTTTTTTCTTGATGAATTTCCGAGACAAGAACGTAACAAGAGAACGCAAATTTACGTATAAATTTCACATAGAATTTGACTTAGTCGTTTTTTTGTCAACCTTAAAATACTGCTACATTCTGTAACTGTGATACATAGGCTCTATCAATTATAGAGACTTAAATATACATCAGTATCAGTACACTTTTAGTGACTGTGATAAGATCCTATCTCGGGCTTAGAGATAAAAGAAAATGTAGGCCTGTAATACCTAAATAGGCCTATTGTGTAAAGTGTGTGAGAGTGGCAATGAACCACACACTTATACAGATCCTTCTTGTAAGACAAGGAGATACATCTTGACTAGAGGGGTGTAGTGGTGAGCGTCTCTGGTGGGCGTGGTGGTGGGCGTGGTGGTGGGCGCCGAGAGGAGTCACGTAACTTCAAAGGCAAGAGGAGAAACTTCCTTTGCAACTTCAGTGCTCATTTTTGCTGAAAAGTATGAGTTGAAGTGATGAGGTTAGATATATATTTTCTCTCTCTCTCTCTCTCTCTCTCTCTCTCTCTCTCTCTCTCTCTCTCTCTATATATATATATATATATATATATATATATATATATATATATATATATATATATATAATATATATATTTTTTTCCTTCTTCTTCTTCTTCTTTCTTTTCTTTTTTCTTTTTCTTCTTTTATTTATTTTCTATAGTCATGATATTACGGATAAGCTGGGTAAGTAAGTGTATAAAGGCTAATATTCAGCTTCAGTTGAACTTTACTAACGACCGTGGTTATTTCAATAGCAAGAGGACAATCCACCTATGCATTTACAAATCAACTTGCACATATGTACTCAGCAGCAATGTATATTCCCAACAATTCGCATAAAGTATCTACCAGTAAGCAAGTAAAACAGCGTCTAAGACCAAGAGCTACCTGTCTCGATATACATTTTCGGATATTTAAATAACAATGAATGTATCATTAAGTATACTACAGCCTTTAGAAGCAAGAGTATTCTTCTCTTGATAAGTATTTTCAACAATCTAAATAACAAAGATTTCATAAGTAAAATACCGCGTTTAAAAGCAAGTGTATCCTTATCCTGATAAACAAAATTAATAATCTGAATAAGAGATTACATAAATAAGTAAAACAGCGTTTAAAAGCAGAAAATCCTTACCTCGCTAAAGAAAAAATAAAATAGATAGAAAAAGACAATCTGAATGAGAAAGATTACATAAATAAGTAAAATACAGCGTTTAAAGGCAAGAGAACCCATCTATTCCTTTCCCCGACACACAAAATAAAAATAATAATAATAATAATAAACGCCATCTACTCGTTTCCCCGACATTCACAAAATCCAAACAAAAAACACGATTCCTCACCCTCTGCGCCAGGCTGGAAGGACTGCTCGGGACCTTCCTGAGGGCGCCGATATGACCTCCTCCGGGAGCGTGGAGTCGCTGGGCACCGGCCTGAAGGTGGGCATCGGTCGCAGGGCCTTCGGGAGGGTACGTGGACGGCACTTCGGGAGAATACCTCGGGTTGGTGACGCCCTCGACGTGGTTCCTGAAGGTCGTCGGGGGGGTCCTGGGGTTGGTCGGTTCGAAGCCTCGGTTGATGTGTCCTTGGGCTTCGGTCTTCGGGTCGGATGCGGTCTCGGGCGTTCTCGGGGGCGGCCTGTTGTCGAATCCTTGAAGCAGGAAAGAAAATTTGGTAAAAAGGAGAGTTGTGAATAACTTACTTGTAATCTTATAACAATTGCTGTCTTACATTCGATATATAACATGGAGCAGCAACAATTAATATCTTAATTTTGGAAGAAAAAAAAAGAAAGAAAGAAAAATAAAAAAAGAAACATAATAAATAAACAAATAAAACATGCAAAAATGACACTAACATTCAAATAACAAACCTACCATGTCCAATATATCAACCAATCATATCACAAAAAAAGCTAAAAACAAAATTATCTTTATACTGAGGAATCCTGCAACTTCACCTTATTTCGAGGATTATCCTTACCTGGAGGCAGCGACGAGGATTGCTTCACAGGTCTACTAGGACACAGAATATCACTAGTAGGACTCGCATCCAGCTGTAAGACATTATAAAATGGTCGTACATACGCATAATAATGTTGATATTATATGTACGAGTATTTATAGTGCAAAGTGGAAGGAAGCGCCACGTGCTCTTTATATATTCTATATCCATCTATATATCTCTTTCTATCTCTTTCATTTTCTCTCTCTCTCTCCCTCTCAATCATACTCTCTCTCTTTCTCTATCTCTATCTATCTATTTATCTCTCTCTAACTCTTTCATTCTTTTTGTCTCCCTCTCTCTGTCATTCTCTCTCTCTCTATCTCTTTCTCTATCTATCTATCTATCTATCTATCTATCTATCTATCTATCTATCTATCTATCTATCTATCTATCTATCTATCTATCTCTATCTCTCTCGCTCTCTCTCTCTCTCTCTCTCTCTCTCTCTCTCTCTCTCTCTCTCTCTCTCTCTCTCTCTCTCTCTCTTTATCTCTTCCCTCCTTCCCTCTCTCTTTCTCTATCTATCTATCTATCTATCTATTATCTATCTATATATATATATCGATCTATCTATCTTATGTATCTATTTATCTCTCTATCTATTTCTATGTGTGTGTGCTGCAAACACCAAGGATTTAGTGACCCACTTCCTCCCACATGAAGTCGAAAGGATTCGTATTCTGCGACGTCGGCGTATGTGCCAGTCCCTCGCTCGCCGCGTCTTCCCCTTCGTCAGACAGAAGGTCCTCCTTGATGATAGGTTGACCTCGGCTCAGACGTCGTCCCCGCTGCTGCGAAGACGTCCCACTCTTCGGCGACTCCGGCTGGATGTCGAGGGTCAAGTGCTGTCTGCTGAGGATGTTCTGCTGTCTGCTGGGGACGTCCGTCTGACTTCCCGACGACGCCTTCTTGATCAGCTGTTCCTTCTTGGCAAAGGAGGGTCTCGGAGGGCGCGTCGGGGTGCTGAAGAGGCCGAGGTCGCCGTCGTCCAGGTGCTGGGAGAAGGTCTTGTCCCAGCACATGTCCTCCTGGTCTGTCGGGTCTTCTAGCGTTGTGATGTTGCCGAGGAGGTAAGACATCTTGGGAGGAAATTAGGGGGTTGTTGTTGTGAATTTGTGGTGGTAATGATTGCCAGGTATATAATTATAGGTATATATTATAGGCGTATAAGTTGTATGTTTTGTGTATCCTCCATTGTTAAGAAAATTAAGAAATTACCTCTAACAAACAATTGTGACATGAAAAAAAATAAAAAACGCCCCCAACTTTACGGGAAAATAGGCAGATAGATTGATAAAAAAGAAAGAAGGAAAGAAAGACAAAAAAATAAACATATTCCTCAAAAAAATTACGATAAAAAAATCGAAAACGCCCCCAACTTGACGAGAAATAGACAAAGATAGATAGTAAAAAAGGAGGAAAGAAAGGCAAAGAAATAGACACATCCTTCCAAAAAAATATGATGAACTAAAAATATTCCAGAATAAAAGAATAAAAAATAAAAACTCGAAACCGCTCCCAACTTTACGAAAAACAAACAAACAGACAGAAAGATAAAGAAAGAAGGAAATAAACAAAAAAAAAAATAATCCCCTCCCTCCACCACACCTCAAGATGGCGATCGAGTATCTTGTCCATTTCGAAGTCGTCGTCATCCTCTCCGAACGGGTTGACCAGCGACTCGGCAACTTTCAACCAGCCCATATAGAAGAAAAATTGCAACAGAGTGAAGACGGGGACGAAGAAATCAATGGTGCGGTTGTTGTAGTTCTGCGCCGGGTCGAGGAACTGGCGGCCCAACACGGAGAAGAAGAAGAACGAATACACAGCCATAGTCACCACCTGGGGGAGGGAATCGGAGACGCTCGGTGTTGCCGTCTTGGTGAGGAGGGGGTTTCGAAAAATGGATGATGATACGGATGATGATGATGATGATGATGGTGATGGATGATTGATTATGATGAGATGGTGATGGAGGGTGATGGTGGTGATTATGATGATGATGGTGATTGTAATGAGGGTGATGGTGGTGATTATGATGATGATGGTGGTGGTGGTGAATATGATGATGATGGGTGGTGGTAATTATGATGGGTGGTGGTGGTGATTATGATATGGTGTAGTAATTATAATGATGGTGATGGTGATGATGACTGATGATTGATGATAATGACAATGGCAGTTACAATTAAAATGGGCAATGGCAATGATAACGATATTAATAACGATAATGATAATATATAATCTGAATTTGAACTAGAAAAGATATATCATCTAAATTTTAAGTCGATTGTTATAACGACCAATTCCTTGCCTTTCGTTAACATCATCAACAATACTATCAGTCTTAAATAATGTGTTATACCTCTCACATACGCCAAATTAACAGATACGATAAGACAAATTATCATTAGAGTATCATTATTACACACCATTAAATATAATTACTAATAACCAAACGCCTAATATGGTCTTAGGCATACCTGCGTGTACACGAGAGGGATGCTTATCTCCGTCCAGCGTAGCAGCATCCCACTCTTGTTCCTGAGACTACCCAGTTCCTCCAGCAGGAGTTTCACGCCGAAGTCGTCCTTGATGTAACCCGCCGCCCTCGCCCGCTCTACCAGCTTACACGCCCACAGGAGAGGCAGGAACACCACGGGGACTCGGGACTTCGATCCTTGGGCCTCCAGAATCCTCATTTCGTTGGAGGTCATGTACCCTGAGGTCGAAGGAGGTGAAGAGGTGAGTTGGGGAGGATGTAGGTCCGTGTGGGTTTGGGGTTGGGGTGGGTGTGTGTGTGGGTATGTTAGGGTTGTGAGTGGGGGGAGAAGCAGGGGGGGAAGGAGGAGATAGAGAGGGAGAGAGGAGTGTGAGAAGGGGTGAAGGAGGGAGGAGATAGAGAGGGAGAGAGAGAGGGGTGTGTGGGAAGAGGTGAAAGAGAGAAATGGAGGAGGGAGGGAGGAAGGAGATAGAGATAGAGAGAGGGGTGTGGTGGAAGAGGTGAAGAAGGAGGAGGAGGGAGGAAGAGAGGGAGAGAGAGAAGGGGTGTGAGAAGGGTGAAGGAGAGAATGGAGGAGGAGGGAGGAGGAAGGAGATAGAGAGAGGGAGAGAGAGAGGGGTGTGGGAAGAGGTAGAGAGGGAGAGAGAGAGGGGTGTGGGAAGAGGTGAAGGAGAGGAATGGAGGAGAAGGAGGGAGGGAGGATAAGGAGAGGAGACAATAACAATTATGTAACTCAACTCACCAAATTCTTTTAGATCCTTGTAAGATGGAAATTTCTTCTTGACTTTCGGGGAAATTTTGGCGAAGATGAGAGCGCAGTTTAGGTTCACGTATCTTAGCATTGTCGACCTTATGAGACGTGGCGGTCCGTTCTGAAATCGAAAATTTGAATTATTATTTATTTATTTTTTTTTTTTTTTTTTTACTTTCGATTCGCGAAAATTTGAATTAATTTTGATTTTTTTTACTTTCGATTCGCGAAAATTTGAATTATATTTGATTTTTTTTTTACTTTCGATTCGCGAAAATTTGAATTATATTTGATTTTTTTTTTTTTTACTTTAGATTCGTGAAAATTTGAATTATATTTGATTTTTTTTTTTTACTTTAGATTCGCGAAAATTTGAATTATATATTTTTTTTTTTTACTTTAGATTCGCAAAATTTGAATCATATTTGATTTTTTTTTTTTTTTTTTTTTTTACTTTCGATTCGCGAGAATTTGAATTATATTTGATTTTTTTACTTTAGATTCGCGAAAATTTGAATTATATTTTTATTTTTTTTTTTACTTTAGATTCACGAAAATTTGAATTATATTGATTTTTTTTTTTTTTTTTTTTTTACTTTAGATTCGCGAAAATTTGAATTAATTTTGATTTTTTTTTTTTTTTTTACTTTTAGATTCACGAAATTTGAATTAATTTTGATTTTTTTTTTTTTTTTTTTAGATTCACGAAATTTGAATTATTTTTTTTTTTTTTTTTTTTTTACTTTTAGATTGCGAAAATTTGAATTATATTTGATTTTTTTTTTTTTTTTTTTACTTTAGATCGCGAAAATTTGAATTATTTTGATTTTTTTTTTTTTACTTTAGATTCGCGAAATTTGATTATATTTGATTTTTTTTTTTTTTCGCGAAATTTGAATTATATTTGATTTTTTTTTTTTTTTTTTTACTTTCGATTCGCGAAAATTTGACTTTAGATTCCGCGAAAATTTGAATTATATCTTTTTTTTTTTTTTTTTTTTTTTACTTTAGATTCGCGAAAATTTGAATATATATTTGATTTTTTTTTTTTTTTAGATTCGCGAAAATTTGAATTACTTTAGATTTTTGACTTTAGATCGCGAAAATTTGAATTCTTTTTTTTTTTTTTTTTACTTAGATTCGCGAAAATTTGAATTATATTTGATTTTTTTTTTTTTTTTTCTTTTACTTTAGATTCGCGAAAATTTGAATTATATTTGATTTTTTTTTTTTTTTTACTTTTTGAATTATTTTGATTTTTTTTTTTTTTTACTTTAGATTCGCGAAAATTTGATTATATTTGATTTTTTTTTTTTTTTTTCTTTAGATTCGCGAAAATTTGAATTATATTTGATTTTTTTTTTTTTTTTTTTTTTTTTACTTTAGATTCGCGAAATTTGAATTATATTTATTTTTTTTTTTTTTTTCTTTAGAAAATTTGAATTATATTTGATTTTTTTTTACTTTAGATTCGCGAAAATTTTATATTTGATTTTTTTTTTTTTTACTTTAGATTCGCGAAATTTGATTTTATATTTGAATTTTTTTTTTTTTTTTTTTTTTACTTTAGATTCGCGAAAATTTGAATTATATTTTTTTTTTTTTTTTTTTTTTTTTTACTTTAGATTCGCGAAAATTGAATTATATTTGATTTTTTTTTTTTTTACTTTAGATCGCGAAAATTTGAATTATATTTGATTTTTTTTTTTTTTTTACTTTAGATTCGCGAAAATTTTAATTATTTGATTTTTTTTTTTTTTTTTTTTTTACTTTAGATTTGCGAAAATTTGAATATATTGATTTTTTTTTTTTTTTACTTTAGATTCGCGAAAATATGAATTATATTTGATTTTTTTTTTTTTTTTTTTTACTTTAGATTCGCGAAAATTTTGAATTATATTTGATTTTTTTTTTTTTTTTTTTTACTTTAGATTCGCGAAATTTGAATTATATTTGATTTTTTTTTTTTTTTTTTTTAGATTCGCGAAAATTTGAATAATTTTTTTTTTTTTTTTTACTTTAGATTCGCGAAATTTGAATTATATTTCGATTTTTTTTTTTTTTTTTTTTTTTTACTTTAGATTCGCGAAAATTTGAATTATATTTGATTTTTTTTTTTTTTACTTTAGATTCGCGAAATTTGAATTATATTTGTTTTTTTTTTTTTTTTTTACTTTAGATTCGCGAAAATTTGAATTATACTTGATTTTTTTTTTTTTTTTTTTTACTTTAGATTCGCGAAATTTGAATTATATAATTTTTTTTTTTTTTTTTTTTTTTACTTTAGATTCGCGAAAATTTGAATTATATTTGTTTTTTTTTTTTTACTTTAGATTCGCGAAAATTTGAATTAATTTTGATTTTTTTTACTTTAGATTCGCGAAAATTTGAATTATATTTGATTTTTTTTTTTTTTTTTTACTTTAGATTCGCGAAAATTTGAATTATATTTGATTTTTTTTTTTTTTTACTTTAGATTCGCGAAATTGAATTATATTTGATTTTTTTTTTTTTGAATTATCTTTTTGATTTTTTTTACTTTAGATTCACGAAAATTTGAATTATATTTGATTTTTTTTTCTTTCTTTCGATTCGAAAATTTGAATTATTTTGAATCTTTTTTTTTTACTTTAGATTCGCTCTATCGTGGGATTCCTCTTAATTGCGTGGTTTAATGGGGTTTCTAATTACGGTGGGAGTTATTTCTAATCTTTTTTTCAATCTTGTGCAAAATGGGGATTCTAATTTTGAGCTCGTTAACGTGAATTTCATTTCGGTAAGCAACTATCTACGTATTTCAATGTCGATTTCAAACCTTATCACGTGACTTCTATCTCATAATATGAATTTACGAGCTATTTCATTATCATATCGCTGAATTTCAGCTTATTGTATTATATTCCAAACAATTTTATTTCAACTTCGAAACTCATCAACAGGAATTTCTCTTGCGTGACATGACTCTCCCAGCACTTCAATCTCCATTTCAATTCTCACATCACGTGGCTTCCATCTCACTGCAGAACTTTCCATGGCATTCAGTTTCAATTTTTACACACCAACGTGAATTTCCCTTTAATTACACAACTCTCTCTCTCTCTTCTCTCCTTCTTTCCTCCCCTCCCTTCTCCTCCCTCTCCCCCTCCCCTCCTCCCTCCCCCCTCCCCTTCCTCCCTCTCCCTCCTCCCTCTCCCTCCTCCCTCTCCCTCCCCTCCCCTCTCCCTCTCCCCTCCTCCCCCCCTCTCCTCCTCCTCTCCATCCTCCCTCACATCCCCTCCCTCCCCCCTCCCCCCCATCCCTTCACCTCCTTCCCCTCCCCCCCCTCCCTCTCCCACAGCCACCAAGACCAACCTGTTCCACTTATGTAAGAGGAGCAAAAGAGAGCGAAGTTGTCTGGCCAAGGGATCGAGAGGTACTGCTCCCACCACCGCTGGACCACGACGCTCACGTAGAAGCCCAGCACGAAGGAAATTGGGATGAGGTTCCTGAAGTAGTCGCAGTAGAGGGATAGGTGTTCGAAGATCCTGTGGGGGCGGAGGGAAGGTCGTGAGGTAAGTTTTTTTTTTGTTATTTTTGTTTGTTTTTTTTTGGGGGGGTAATTTATTATTTCTTTATTATATGTTTTTTATCATGTTTTTTATTATAGTTTTTTATTATATGCTTTCTTGTTATTATATATATTATATATATATTTCTTATTATATGTTTTTTTAGGTATTTGTTTTGTTATATGTTTACTCAGTTTTAGCGTTTCATTTATATATCATTTACTGTAAAGATTTATGTTTATACTTTCCTTTGTGTTTTATCTCTACATTTATTTATATCTTTTATATTTTCATTTATGTTTATTTATATTTTTGTGTATTTATATTTTTTTATTTACAATTATCCCTATTATGTTTTTTTTTTTTTTTTTTTTTCATTTTATTTATGCTTATATCCATTATGTTTATTTATACTTTTATTTATATTCTTATTCCACAATTTGTTCACTTATAACTTTATTTATATGTTTATTTTAAGAAATGTTTATGTATACTCTTGTTTATATTCTCATGTTATCATAGGCTTATCTAAAGAGTAATTATATAAAATAAACTGTCGCAAGCAATTATCTTTTATTTCATCTAACTGAAATCTAACGCCATTCATAACAAAACAAAAATTGAAAAAGAAAAAGAAGAAATGTAAAAAATATTAATCACTTCATTTGAATTCACAAAATTAGCATGGCAAGTAATGATTTTTTTTTTTCTAACGTAATTCTTAACCAAAATGAAAGAAAAAGAAAGAAAAAGGATAGATAGATCGATAGACAGGAATATAGATACTAATGAATTTACATTTTTTCTTAACGGAATTCTTAACCAAAATTGAAAAGAGAAAAAAGAAAGAAAAAAGATAACTTAGATAGATAGATAGACAGGTATATAGATACAAAAAAGATGGTTTACTAACCTTCTCTGTTCATCGTCCAGGGCAAACCTGTACACCATGGAACAAATGAAGTACAAAAAACAGTAAACTAGGGTATCGGGCCAAACCAGTTTATAGAGGCTGCCTTTCCATCTGTTGAGGAAGATGGAACAACAATTAATAATCTAGTTTTGATTCAATTTGTTCCAATAAATATTCTTTGCTGTGGTTTACTGTTGCCTTTCCATCTTTGGGGAAGATAGTTAGAACAACAATTAATAATCTAGTTTTTATTTCAATAAATATTCTTTGCTGTGAAATACCGGCCTTTTTTTTTCTTTCTTTCTTTTTTTTTTTTTTTTTTTTGCTTTTAAATTGCCCCTTGTGTGCAAGGAAAAAATCTGTAGAAAAGGTATGGATGTAGAATTAATATATTTGATAATACAAGAGATGTATTTAACCCGTTTCGAATACATCGTTAGATACATTACTTGTGAATATATTCACTTTCATTCATACCTTTTCTACATTTTGTTACAATGAATACGGTTAATTGTGCTGTAACTGTAAAGTATGTTGAGTATGACTATGATATATGTTAAATGTGATTGCAATGTTTGTTAAATATAACTAATACATCTTGAAAATAACTGTCACATGTGGTGTATGTTATATAGCCTCGAACATCTCCCATCAACACCTGTCCTCTTACCAATCAATTTAATCCACTTACCTGAACAGAAGCCTCCAAAAGGATCCGAAACCCTTACAGTCGGACACCTTATGCGTGTAAGTGATGGTCATGTTGCTTAAGAAACCACTTTCTTAAGGAGAATCTTCAAGGTGAATCGCCTTTGTCAGGTCACCGGGGGAGAGAAGTCCTGTGATAGATAGATAAATGAGTGAGTAGATAGGTAGATAAAGTGAGTAGAGAGATGATAAAGTGAATAGATGGATAATCGAGTGATAGACAGATAAATAAAGTGAGTAGATAGATAAACGAGTGAGCAGATATATAGATAAAGTGAGTAGAGAGATTGATAAAGTGAGTAGATAGATAGATAAAGTGAGTAGAGAGATTGATAAAGTGAGTAGATAGATAATCGAGTGATAGACAGATAAATAAAGTGAGTAGATAGATAAACGAGTGAGCAGATAGATATATAAAGTGAGTAGACTGATAGAGTAGATAGATAGATAAAGTGAGTAGATAGATAGTGAATAAAGACATGTAGATGTGGAGGGAAGCCCTGCGATAGATAGATAAAGTGAGTAGATAGATAGATAGGTAGATAGAAAATAAAGAAATGGCAGATGGTAGAGAGAAGCCATGTGATAGATAGATAAAGTGAGTTGATAGATAAATAGATAGATAAATAAAGAAATGGGAGATGGTGAAACGAATCCCTGCGATAGATAGATAAAGTGAATAGACAGATAGATGGATGAATAAAGAAATGGTAGATAAATAGATGGATGGGTATAGAAATTTGTGATGATAGATAAATGGATAAATAAAGAAGGGAACAGATAAATAGACTGGTAGAGAAAGAAATGATAGACTAATAAGGAAAGAAATGATGAGAAATAAATAGAAGGATAAAGAAATGTGAATAATAGATGAATGAATTAATAATCCAAGAAATTCATGATGATAAATGGATAAATATGGAAGTGCGTTAATAGATAAATGAGTGAATAAAGAAATATGTGATGATAGATAAATAGATGAATCGATAAAAAATATATGGCGATAACTAGATAGATAGATAGACAAATAGATATGCGATGATAGATAGAGGAATCGACTGGTATAGAAAGAAATGATAGATAAATAGATAAATGAACAAAGAAAAAATAGCAAAAATGATTAATAGAATATGTCCAGATTGATAAATAGATAAATAAAATAAGTGATGATAGATCAATTTACGATGAAAGAAACACGTGGTGAGAGATAGATAAATAGATAAAAATTAAATTTGCTCGAGAAGATTTATAGATATAGATGCCGGTAATGATATTTATCAAAAGAAGGATAGTGGGAATAATGAAGATATATGCATAAAAAATAAATAAATAAATAAAATAAAATGGACAATGATACAATTAAACAGACATAAACGCCTATCTATCATACTAAATGTACATATCTATCGGATGGATAGATAGATGTACAGCTTTCAGATAGATAGATAGATAGATAGATAGATGTTTATTTGTGTGTATGCATGTCCATATATACGAATATGCATTAGGTTGGGCCTAATGAGAGAGAGAGAGAGAGAGAGAGAGAGAGAGAGAGAGAGAGAGAGAGAGAGAGAGAGAGAGAGAGAGAGAGAGAGAGAGAAGAGAGAGAGGAGAAGAGAGAGAGGGAGAGAGAGAGAGAGAGAGAGAGAGAGGAGAGAGAGGAGAGGGAGAGAGAGAGAGAGAGGAGAGAGAGGGAGAGAGAGAGAGAGAGAGAGAGAGAGAGAGAGAGAGAGAGAGAGAGAGAGAGAGAGAGAGAGAGAGAGAGAGAGAGAGAGAGAGAGAGAGAGAGAGAGAAGAGAGAGAGAGAGAGAGAGAGAGAGAGAGAGAGAGGAGAGAGGAGAAGAGGAGAGGAGAGAGAGAGGAGAGAGAGAGAGAGAGAGAGAGAGAGAGAGAGAGAGAGAGAGAGAGAGAGAGAGAGAGAGAGAGAGAGAGAGAGAGAGAGAGTGAGGGAGAGGGAGAAGGAGAGGGAGAGGGAGAAGAGAGGAGAGAGAGAGAGAGAGAGAGAGAGAGAGAGAGAGAGAGAGAGAGAGAGAGAGAGAGAGGAGAGAGAGAGAGAGAGAGAGAGAGAGAGAGAGAGAGAGAGAGAGAGAGAGAGAGAGAGAAGAGAGAGAAGAGAGAGAGAGAGAGAGAGAAATTGAGAATTGATGTTATTATGTTATTAATAGTGATGATAACAATAGGGTGTAGCGAGATAATGATGATGATCGTAATAGCGGTAATGGTGGTGATGATGATGGTGATAAGGATGACGATATGATGTGATAGTGAGGGTAATGATGATAATGAGATGCGAAGATGATGATGATGATGATGATGATGATGATGGTTGATACTGATGAATGACAATGGTAATGATGTGATGATGGTAATAATGATGATAAATATACTGATACTGATAAATAAAAACAAAAACATGAATAATAATGTAATAAAATATGATGAATAACATGATATAATAATAAAAAAAAAAAACACATTTCAGACATCTTCAAGGTGACTTCAGCGACAGCCATCAAAATCACACATCATTATCCACACCTTTGAAATTATCCCCTCCAGACCTTTCAAAAATAAATCGATCCTAAATCCACAAAATTAATGCCTAAACACCTTCCATTCGGGAGAAGAAAAAAAAAATGAAGGCGTTTAAGAAAAAAAAAAAAAAAAACTGTCTCCCGAATTAGTAAATTAATTGCAGTTCGATTATCGGATTAATTACTGTCATCTCGTCGCGGAGGTTTGCAGAAGTGACTACGGGTACGGCAGAAAAAAAAGATGGTGACCTGCGCATGCGTGGTGGAAAAAAAACAAGATGGCGGCGGTGTCTCGGCGCGAAAGACGATACCATTCTTAGTTAAGTTAGGTTAGATTAGGTTTGGTTAGGTTAGGTAAAATTAGGTTACGTTAGATAAGGTTATATTCGGATTAATTAGATAGATAAGGTTGGATTAGATTTGGTTAGATTAGGTTAGATAAGGTTAGATTAGGCTAGGTTAGGTTGGTTTAGGTCAGATTAGGTTAGGTACGGATAAATCAGGTTAGAATAGGTTAGGTTCGTACTTTATACCAGGAAATAACGTTAATATACGCATGTACATGTGTGCCGTACGAATAACCGCGAGAAATCGGCTACGGCTGCCGGACGCGTAAACTCGGCCTTAAGTAAAAAAAAAAAAAGCAATTTCGAGGGTAGTTGGTGGTTGCTAAGGAGATTGGCGAAGCGGGGGGGGGTTCAGCGTTCGAGCCAAGATGGAAATTTCGCAAAGTTAACGTTTTGTTTTGATAAGCTATAGATTGATTTATACGGAATTGATGATTTTTAGAGTAGTAATGTTAAATTAATATTTCGTAGGTTAACTCATATTTCGTAGAATTATCATGATAAATTGATATTTCGTAGAATAATTGCATTCAACTGATATTTCGTAGAATAATCAGACTGAATTCATATTTCTTCAATTGTTTGTATTGAATATAGATCGATTATACTAAATAGATAGTTCATATAATGGGAATCTTGAACGAATCATTTTCATTATCATCATTATCATTCCATTATCATTATCATCATCATCATGACCATCATCATCATCATCATCATCATCATCATCTTCATACCATTATCCTCAATCATCATCATCATCATCAACATCGTCATCAACATCTGCATTCCATTATTACCAATATCGTCATCATCATCATCATCATCATCATTCCATCATCATCATTATCATCATTATCATTCCATCAGCAGCAGCAGCAGCATCATCAACATCCTCATTCCGCTATTACCAATATCATCATCATCATCATCATCATCATCATTATCATTCTTATTGTGTGCACGTCCCACAAGCAGCATACAGAAGACCGCAAAAATCTGCGGATTATTTCTGCACATTTCGCATGTTAAGTGTGGCAAGACTGAACTTTGCATGGATGAATAGGCAAGGAGACTAACTTAGAGGCAAGTAGAGAAGGATAATTAGTAATTAGAGAAATAGCTAGGCAGGTAACGAAGAGATAGCCCAGTAGATATACATGTGTGTGTGTTGATTGTTATATAGATAGATATAGATATATAGATATAGATATATCTGTGTGTGTGGTGTGGTGTTCTTTGTTCACTTCCATGAGTGTGTAATCATTATCTTTTTATTTATATGTACACATTCAAGGGTTTTAAAACTCCTTTTCTATCAATTTTCTTCAAATACATTTGATTTTAGAAGTTTCAAGAGATGATTTCGTATGTGTGTGCGTGTGTGTTCTCATAATCATAATCATAATCATTATCATTATATCTTTTTTCTATCAGTTATTATCAAACAAATTTAATCATAGAAGTTTCAAGAGATGATTTCGTATGTCTATGCGTGTGTGTTATCATAATCATAATCATTATCATTATATCTTTTTTTTTTACATGCAACCATTCAAAAGTTTCAAAACCCATCCAAAAGTCTGAATAAATGATCCCGCCGTTTAGATAAGTAACAAGTAAAAAATCTCCAATTTTCGCGAAGGTCAAAGTGCTAAAAAAAAAAAAAAAAAAAAAAAAAAAAAAAACGCTGGGTATTTATCCAAAACACTTGAATCTTCCGAAATTTCGTAACGTGTCAATCATGTGAAAATTTGGAGACGAATCTTACGTTTTTGATATATAAGGACTTAAAAAAAATCTACGTTAGGAAGATCAAACTTAAAACCAGAAATTTTGAATTATTGTTATCTTCTTTATTTCTTTCCTGACATGATATTCGACGAAGTGTATTGATAAAAAAAAAACACGAAAATCATAATCTTCTGAGGTTGAGAAACAATTAATATGGAACATTGTGGAAAAAATAGTTGTTTAAAACGATGTTGAATTTCCCTTGTATTTGAGCGTGTGTGTGTGTGTGTGTGTGTGTGTGTGTGTGTGTGTGTGTGTGTGTGTGTGTGTGTGTGTGTGTGTGTGTGTGTGTGTGTGTGTGTGTGTGTGTGTGTGTGTGTGTGCGTGTGTGTGCGTGTGTGTGTGTGGTGTGTACATGTGTGTGTGTGTACATGTGTGTGTGTGTGTACATATATGTATATATATATATATATATATATATATATATATATATATGTGTGTGTGTGTGTGTGTGTG